CTGTATGTATTTCTATTGATCTTATTTCAATTATTAAGAGGATACTATTACAGTTATTAGTATTGAAATCCCAATGATCAAACTAGGAAAAATATCCAAGCATTTCATAGAATAGTACTTTATGAATATATTTATTTGATAGGATTACTAGAATTACATGAATTTTTATTATTTCAGGGTGATACATCTGGGGATTACAAGAAAGCTCTTCTTTCATTAATTTCTACATAAAATGAAGAACATACTTTAAAATACGAATAAAATATGAACAGTCACTGTGGTACAATTGCAATGAAACTATCTTTTTCTAAAATATGGAATTATACATTGCCGCAGATGCTTATTTTTGCAAACTTTTTACATGAGAAATGCTTTGTAGAATAATCTGAAACTTATTTTTGATGAAATGTTTTATTAAATTGCATTGTTATATACAATTTTTTTACATTAAAGTTTTTATATATTTTGCAATGAAGATATATATTTATACAAATTGTTATAAAATCTATACAGAAATAAAACACTATAAATATTATATTGTATTTTGTAAATAATTTGATCTAAACTGATTTGACAATTTATTGTCGTTTACATTTTGAAATTTAGTATTTATTTCATGTGCTCCGTTCACCTATGCAACGCATATGTAATCGAACTATGTAGTTAATTGGAAGAAAACAATGCAGCATTTCCAGTTAGAATTTAATCGAGAAATAAGTCCTGCACATTACTGGTGACACACAGGTGCAGAATAGACAAATCATTTTATGAACTTTTATAGCCAATCGTGATTGTCATACCGACTTAGAAATTCGACACTGATTTCAGTGTCTTCTGCTCATTGACGATGGTCACTTTATGAAATATTTGTAACGACGTTAGTAGGAACTGAACAGCACACCTGGGTAAATGCGTGTACTTTTAAAGACCAGAACCAAAACCGCTTGATTGTTGTGTACGATGTGTCTAAGTTTTGATTCCTGCGATGATTTTTGTCACGTAGGGATTTCACCAGTGTTTTGGCAGTGTGTACCTATGTGTGTAGATTGAATTATGAATATATATACATGTAAAGAAACAAAGAATGCCTCACAAACTCGTGTCGAACTTTTGTTATATATATAATAATAATTTAACCATTTTTTATTAATGGAAATAGAAATTATTAAATCGTTATTAATGAATTATAAAATAGACTCACTGATTTGAAAAACATAAGACGAGTTTAAAAAATTCATTAAAAGATAAATAATATTTTTACTGAATAAAGTGGTTTACATGTAATATCTATAATTTATATTGTAATATATAATCTCGAAATAAATCAAAGCCATTAATAAATATACAAGGATCTTTTGTTGAAGAAAAGGCTTCAGTAATAGAAAAACATATCTTATACTGCATTACAGCAATTTTATTCTTATTCCACAGCAATCTTTTCCCCCGTCGTCCCTATGTTGCAGACAAATGGTCAAACTGATCCTAAGTCTGTGTTAACATTCAAAAGTTAGAACATCTCTAAAGATTTAGAATAACACAAATAGTTTATTTCACTTGTAGCTACAGTTGATCCTGTCTACAATACTTTCTTTATGATATCAAAATTGTTCTAAAAATTGCACATTAGTCCTTTTGGTGATAGAAAAATGTTATTTTTATTTAAGTAGAGTATTGTTTGTTATAACAGGTTGTTTACAGCTCCCGCCCTTGTCATGAATTAACTGAAAGCAAAATAGCATTGAACTATCTGTCTTCGATGGCTAAAAAATAATCTATGTCTAACATGCTTATGTAATCAGTAATTGCATTATTTTTTAAAATTCTACGTAAAAATGTATTCCGGTACAATCGTAAGAAAATATTATTTAACGAGATAAATTGTCTCGAATTTTTATAATGCTATTTCTCCTAACATTTTAAGTATAACTTTTATTAACTTGTTCACTAACTACCGTAGTTTTCATAACGGCAGTCTTTGCCTTTGTTATTATTTCTATATGTTACTGTAGTACCTATCGATTGATTATTGTCAATGTCAAAATAGAAAAATATCAGCTAGGGTAGCTAATTTTATCCTATTCACTATTTTCAAAGGCTCAGGAGCTAAACTGTGCAACTAATGTCTCAGAGAAGAAAACTATTTATAAGCGTGTTATTAGAAATTATGCTCAACTCAGACTATGGTCCAACTTTGGTTATTCTCCTTCATATTATAACAAAAATGTACAACGAACCTTGTCACCTACACGAAACAAAACCAGCTTGCGTGTTAACTCATCCAATGAAGCTGCTCAATAATATCGTGTGGTACCGTTTTTGTAAAAGAGATAACATTGTTCAAACGTAGAATGGTACTGCGCCGTGTACTGTACGGGATAATTGTAGATCAAAGACTGAGCCTCTTCATTAACGTTTGTGAAGTAGTTGTGATTTTTCCGTGCTGTGCGAAAAACATCGTTCAGTAGCTATACTAATCGCTTGACTTTGCTTTTTGGAAAACAAGAGAATTTACTAACCTTCGTCCACAAAAAAATTCGCAAAGAATTGAGTGACTCGTGCCGCGTTTTCTCCGTGCGGAATTTTTAGGTCCTCCTTCCATTCATATAGATTTTTTTCTGGATGAAATTGCAAACCGTAGAACGGATATCCGATCGTTTCGAACGATGAAATATACTCTTCGCCAATTTTGTCATAGTTCACAGACAGTATTTTGAATTTATCCATTATATTGTAATGGCGTAGTTGCTACAATTTTATGAATATTAGTTGTTACAATTTGGCTTTATGAATATTGGCTGTGAAGTGATCAGGGTTAGTAAATTACTATCCTATGCTAATTTACTCGCGGCAAATATTTAATTATTATTCTGCGGATTGTTATGCTTCCATGGCACCCATAAACTTGCAAAATGCAAGAAAATGCGTTAATGAACATTAAAATTAGCGTTAACGAATATTAATCACTTTTCTATCAGTTTTTTTTTTTTTAATGAAAAGATACCGTTCAATTGTAATTAGTGTTGCCATTAACTCGATTTTTTTGAAAAAGTGACTTATGCCACTTTCAAAATAAACGGCTCAATTATTGCGGTTATATTTGAAAATGGTATAAACAACTTTCTACATGAGTTTAAAAATCTTTGATTTTAAAGGGTTCAAGTTACCGAACATTAAAGGAGAAACCGGTTTACTACATTTCCGAAACTTTGGGGGTGTAATCTCTATATCTATTGCTGTTAATTAAAGCAATTCAAAAATTGGTTTTTTGAAGCAAGAAAACCGAATCTCCCACTTAATAAATCTGCTCGATTGGATTTTACTTTCTGTGAAATGAAAAAAGGAAAAATACTTTAATCGTGACACAATTGTGATGGGCATTAAACGTCAGCATCTCGTTCTTCAGCATGTCAATGATATCGTTCGATACATTTCCGAACATTCTGCTTTCGTGATAATCTGAAACGTTATGGAGCTTAAATTATTAGAACGCATATAAGTGTCATGAATCTACAAATTATAGATGCTCCAAATTTATAATTATAATTGATTCGTAAAGAGACATCAAACTCTTGATCAGTGGTACAATCATTGTTCTCATGACCCTACATTGTCATCAGTTACTGTCAGAGAATGATCGTTCGTTATCAAAGCTTATTCAGTGTTGATTGCATTAACTCGAGCTGAACACGCAACAAGCACTCACCGTTCATAAAAACGAGAGGAAGAGCAATATTCTCAGCCTCGCATCTTGTAAAGATCTGTTTGTCACGATTAGTCATAGCATATGTTAACACTTCGAATCCTAAACATATGCCAAGAATTGGAAAATAATTCCCCAAGTCGTTCATTTGTTTCGCAATTCTACAAATTGAATAATATTTTTATAGGAGCATGAGAACCAGGGATAAGAATGCTGTCTTTACCGGTGTATGTGTACTGCGGCATCGCCGTAACCATATTTGTCATCGAAGTTTGAGCCTCCACCAGGAAACAAAACCCTGCGGAAATTATTAAAAAATGAACAAACTTAACTGCATCGTTCCTTTTTTTTTTAATTTTCTAAGTTAACGTAACTCACCCGTTTATCTTCGACAAGATATCATCGTANGTTTTTTTTTTTTTAATGAAAAGATACCGTTCAATTGTAATTAGTGTTGCCATTAACTCGATTTTTTTGAAAAAGTGACTTATGCCACTTTCAAAATAAACGGCTCAATTATTGCGGTTATATTTGAAAATGGTATAAACAACTTTCTACATGAGTTTAAAAATCTTTGATTTTAAAGGGTTCAAGTTACCGAACATTAAAGGAGAAACCGGTTTACTACATTTCCGAAACTTTGGGGGTGTAATCTCTATATCTATTGCTGTTAATTAAAGCAATTCAAAAATTGGTTTTTTGAAGCAAGAAAACCGAATCTCCCACTTAATAAATCTGCTCGATTGGATTTTACTTTCTGTGAAATGAAAAAAGGAAAAATACTTTAATCGTGACACAATTGTGATGGGCATTAAACGTCAGCATCTCGTTCTTCAGCATGTCAATGATATCGTTCGATACATTTCCGAACATTCTGCTTTCGTGATAATCTGAAACGTTATGGAGCTTAAATTATTAGAACGCATATAAGTGTCATGAATCTACAAATTATAGATGCTCCAAATTTATAATTATAATTGATTCGTAAAGAGACATCAAACTCTTGATCAGTGGTACAATCATTGTTCTCATGACCCTACATTGTCATCAGTTACTGTCAGAGAATGATCGTTCGTTATCAAAGCTTATTCAGTGTTGATTGCATTAACTCGAGCTGAACACGCAACAAGCACTCACCGTTCATAAAAACGAGAGGAAGAGCAATATTCTCAGCCTCGCATCTTGTAAAGATCTGTTTGTCACGATTAGTCATAGCATATGTTAACACTTCGAATCCTAAACATATGCCAAGAATTGGAAAATAATTCCCCAAGTCGTTCATTTGTTTCGCAATTCTACAAATTGAATAATATTTTTATAGGAGCATGAGAACCAGGGATAAGAATGCTGTCTTTACCGGTGTATGTGTACTGCGGCATCGCCGTAACCATATTTGTCATCGAAGTTTGAGCCTCCACCAGGAAACAAAACCCTGCGGAAATTATTAAAAAATGAACAAACTTAACTGCATCGTTCCTTTTTTTTTTAATTTTCTAAGTTAACGTAACTCACCCGTTTATCTTCGACAAGATATCATCGTAATACGATTTAGGTTTCCCAATCCTGAATCGAAAAACACGATAAGATATGTTTAATGAATATGAAAGAAGTAATTGCTCGTTCATCGCAAGCGTTAAGTTCAAGTTTTTTGTTTTTGAGAAATACGATTGTCATCGAATGTACTTACCAAATTGGTACAACTCTTGCGCCAGCTCCCTCGACAAATTTAATATACGAGGCGGCTATGTAGCTGTCATAGATATTACCATAGTTCCCGTTTATTACATCCGACACCTTCTGAGACAAGATACCTTTCGGAAAATTAAAACACAGATACGTGAGAGTGAATTATCCAATTATACGATAATAAAGCCTATCGCGTTCAGCCTCGGACGCCAGGCTTTTTTTACAAATACATTCTAAACAAACGTCAATGACAATACAATTGACAATGCTTCAGATAATGCAGATCTTTAGATACAGTGGCCCACAAAAATGTTCGTACACCTTCTAAAAGGCAATAATCTTTTTAAAACTGGACAAAATTACTTGAATTTTTTAGATGATAGAGGAACTAGTCCTCTAGACAAGGGCTCGGAATTAACCAGCACGCAACATGAGAATCGTGAGGGCTACGCCTTCCGACTCCCATCGCGCGTCTCGCTCCCCTTCTTTATATGCGTGTGTGTAGCATTTAGGTGATCATCGGGGAGCGAGACGCGCGACAGGATTCAGGAGGCGTAGCTCTCGCGATCCTCATATTACGTACTAGTTAATTCCGAGCTCTGTTATAGACAATGACTAAAATGCTATTTTCAATTTTGTTATTATTTAGAATGATAAAAAAAAATAAAAAACTCTTAACTTTTTTATCTCAGCTTATAACGAAAATGTAAAAAATAATAGACTAATCCCTCCATCAGCTAAAAAAAATTGCAACAGCTATTTATTTAATTAAATCGCCATAGATTGAATAATTAATTGATGATTTAAGTATTCTATGTTAAAATGGAACCAAGTTCCGTTGTCGGAGGATTGAAATCGATTCGTGAACGGACAGGTGAATCTAGTTTTGAATGAGTACTCACCGATTATCGGGCGGTCATTGGTGATAGCCGAAACCGACGTGAGAGTTAACAAAATAGCGATCGTTGTGCTTGTTGTTAACATTGCGACCAGCATTCGATGGCGAAGCGTCCAAAACTAAATAGATAGCAGTCGTGAGAGTACGAGCTGTTTATATCAGGCATCAGTTTCCCAAGTCTGGTGTAAAATTTCCAAGGCCTTAGATAGGACATTATTGAAAGTAATTAATTTTAGAGATATGAAGAATTTGTTCACACAATGTCGATGAATAGGTTAACCGGTGTGTAGACAAAAATAAATGATAATACATCAAAGTGCAGTTCAAATAATAGATAAGGAACTAATCAAGGTAACGTATCAAAAAATAATGAAATAAATCGATAGGCAAATAACGAAGGTGTTATACTAGCTTTTAGTTAGGCAAGTGAGTAATTTATAATATAAAGAATAATTTTAATCGGGTAGAGAGATTTACAATGCATCTGATTTTGTTATTCATGTGTACAGTGAACGGAATCCTGACAAATGTGTATAAGAAGTAGATACATTTTATGTGAAATTTGAATGCTCCGATTTTATTTTTTGATATTTGTGTAAAAATCACACATTCGAACACCTTTTAAAATGCTTAGGGAGGTAGACAAACGTGCAGGAGTTCAGATATTACTAAATGTCTCTTACCAGAACGCATCACCGCCTTCTTTACTCCGTGGTGATCAAATCCACTATGAAAACTATCTTTGTTCTTGATGTTTGTTTTGAGCAAAACAGCAGACTAGTCTTAATTCCCCTTGTTGTTAAACTACTGATAGCACTCACTTATGTCGCAATAGTTTCGTTTCAATATCCGATATAAAAATCTCCGGTCTGCACTTCTTGAACTTTTACTTTGTACTTGGGCTTTAGAACTCTCTTGTTGAACTTTTAGATTTTTGTACTTTCTGGATTTTCAAATATCGAATAAGTGTTAAATATTTGATCTATTCAATAAGTGCTAAATATATGACGTATTTAATAATTATTTAATATTTGATGAATTTAATAAGTGTTAAATATATTATTTTTATTGTTGTAAAAACTGGAGCGTTAGTTGTATATTATTATATTCTATTATGTCACTAGAATATTAGTTGCATTAGGCTTCCTTCGGATCTCTTCCTCTATCATGAAGATATCGACAATTGATGGTTATGCCAAGATAATAGCTATGAAATTAGAATTTACTGTTACAAGCTTTCTCCAGGTGCACTATTGGTAACTTCGAGCATCCCTACGGTTTTGAGTTGATTTTTTAGAAGTGTAAAGTTTATGACTCGTGACGGCTATTGCAGATATTCTTGCCGACGAAGACTCCACCTGTTTAGTTCCCGTGCGAGGAATCGACAGAAAAAGGGAAATGTAAAATATTAATGAGAAGTATCATAAATACTTAACGTTTCCTCCGGCGCGCTAAAGCAATCAATCGATTCCGGACAAACAACACAATTTGAATGAAGTACGATCAAATGCGTTAAAAATTTATAGCGGATGTGGATCTCAGCGTAAATTAATTATAATCCCGAGATGAAGTTGGATGCTACAACAAACTCCCTATGCAGACATCAATCAACACTGACCAAGATGGACGAATTTCGAAAGAACTACGCTCTTTATTCTACTCTGTTGGGCATAACTGCGCTCTGGCCCTATGACGAATCTTTATCAGCAAAGATACAAAGAGTATCTTTTCCTCTGCTCATTCTCAGCCTTATAATGATACAGGTAATAAAAATTCAACTTGAGATGGAATGTTTCTTAAACTGAAATAAAACTTTTTTTATTTTGACGATGTAACTGCGCATTTACGGAGAAGACAGCATTTACAATTCAAGTAAAAATAGAAAGTGAAAATGTGATTTAGTTAAATCCTTTGTGATAGACGAGAAAACAGCTGCAATTTATGATGTATTTTTGGAATTATCATCATTTGTGTTAAAACCAGATACGACAAAACAGTAGGACGTGCTTTATACATGTTTGAGTTAGTATTTGAATGATAGTAGATAGATCGGTAGTGTAACAAATAACTTGTTGCGATAGTTAGTAAGAAGTAGCATTAATAATTGCAAAAATGGGACGTGGCAAACAGTTAAACAAAACGGAAATAAAACTGTTCGTTTAAAAAAAAATGAAGCACAAATTTACCGAAAATGTTTAAATTATAAGTGGGAACAGAAGAAGTAGAAAAATGAGAAGTACAGATTATGTTGAACTTACCGATAAAGAAATTATGACAGTAGTATATGTTTAAAATCAGAAATGAACATGGATTGCTTTGTTTCTAAAAGAATCCACTTTCATATATTCAATTTTCTACACGTAGTCAAATTGCAACTAAAGTAGTTAATATGCTTTTGGCATATTTCTCTATTTGTTACTATCGCCAATATAGTGAAATCAGCAAAATATTGCAAAAATTGTAGCGCTAAGATCCCAATGGGAATCCATTCGAGAATTCAAGGTATAACTACCACCCAATGACATTATTCTCATGAATACATCACTCTCAAGAAAAGGAATAGCACGCGGGGAAGAACTAATAAAAATGGAAGACTCTTTAAATGAATTAAAGCTCCACACTACTCGCGGTAGAAACACCACTTTCCGTATATTCATTTTCCTACTATCGATACATGCAATACACGGTACACAATATGTACATATAAAATTGCAATATATTGAGTTATTGCTAAAGCTATTTCGGATTTTTTATGAGCTATCTAATTTGGAAAACCGAAATTACTTTTGTAATAACCCAATACAATAGACATATCAATACCTATGAGAGTTCTTTTATGTGAACTCAGAATTATAGTTTTTCATGAAACGGTTTATAGGTATTCGATTTGCTTTTTGTTAAAATAATCGAGCCATGGAAATTGTTGCGTAGAAACTGTTATTTTCACTAAATATTCATACTTTTATACCTATTAAAAACAAATTAAATATTTTTCAGATATCGAAGCTAAGATCGGTAGAAATATCATTGTCCAATGCACTTACGATGTTATCGCTCACATGCCCAATGTTTTTGTTTTTTCTACGATACGTTGGTTTCGTTATCAACCTACCAATAGTAAGTTAGACCACATGCCATTTTCGCCATTGCATTAATGCGATCAAAATGTAATCATAATATTGCCTTTTTATGTGTTTTTAGACAAGAGAAGTGTTTGATATGATTGGAAACGATTGGAAAGCAACAAAAAATCCTATTGAAATTGATATATTCATGAAGCATATGGCAATGGCAAGACGCGTAATCGTAGCATTTTTAGGCAAATATATTCAACAGATTCGTGTCAAATTTATAACAATGACGATATCTTAAAATGTGTAAAAACTACACTAAAATGATACGATTTTTTTTTTTTTTAATTCTAGGTCTATCGAGCGTATTAATGGCATACGTAACTGTGGTAATCTTAGTTCCCACACTACTGCGTTCAAAACGTCAACTATATTATCTACACATGTTTGGATTTTTTTTCCATGAGGGAGGTCATATAGCTGATTGTGTTTGTCTTCAGTTTATAATCGTTGTCTCACTAGGTCTCTTGTCGATATCGAGTACGGAATCCGTACTCGCTGTTTTTTCTGCCTACTTGTGTGGACTGCTTGAAATCGCCAGGTATCTTTGAAACAATTCATTCTTGAATGATTCTTCCAAATCTTTTTTGACATTCTTCCTTGTGAGTCTTGAACAATACGGACATATTCCTGTACACAACTGGGTCGTTTATACTAGCACTTCGGAGACATATTATACGTGTATACTTTGCTATTTAAAATCAAACTTTACTGTACACTCAAGATAGCAAATCACTTTTCGCTTTTCCTTTTCGTGTTTTCTTTACTACGTGTAAATTATAATTTTAAGAAAAACGTTGTTGAGCATCGTCAAACCCTTAGTAAATAGTTCGAATGTCACTCGTGCACTCTATGGAAATTTTATGCAGCAAAGGTTAATGTCGTATCAGTGGTAATCTCGGAGATAGGTTGTAATAACATATATATGTACATACAGTCAGTCCAAAAAAGATTCGCAAACTTTTTAACACATTACCATCTGGATGACTAAAAATAGTCATTTTCTTGACTGCTAGTGAAATGCCGGGTGAATAAAAATAGTAATTTTCTTGATTGCTCGTAAAATGTCGGAGAACTAAAAATAGCCGAAACTTAAGCAAAAAACTTTATGGTTAAAACTTTAATTTTTTTTTAAAATAAAAATAGACGACCATGGAGAACGAGACGTGACAAAATAGAAATATGTTCGTCGGATTGATCAATATACCATCGGTGTTGTTGAATTTTAGAGGAAAGAAGAAACCGGTGGTATTATTCTACTATCTCGATTCTACAATACATTGCGATCTTTTCAGTTACCGAATAGAGACAGCAATCTGCAATGTGGTACATTCAGCTTCGTCGGAAATAATAGAAGTACAGTCAGCTGTGGACATGCACAAACGAGCTCTTAAGTTAGTATTTTTCTTAACACGTCACTAGTAACTAGTAATTATACTTTCTTTACAACGTTTATTTATTTCGCAACTATCAATGGCCGGCATACTGGAATATTGAAAATTTTGTTAACCTAGAACGCTCTCAGATATGATAGACAAGTTGATGATATCGTATTTAATAGCGATTATAGGAGTGATCCTTTCATTTGCTGTAAACTTATACCGTGTAAGCATTATTAAAAGTTAATAAGAAGAATTGGTGAATTAATTATTGCAAAATGCTTTTGTTGAACGAAATGTAATAAAGTAGTTTTTTTATGTGTAACAGCTTCTCCTGGCAATCAAGAGTGCGGATGATTTCGAAAATATTTTCTTTTCTGCAAACGATGTTCTATTGCATTTTGTAATCATGTTCTTAAATAATTATATTGGACAGAGATTGGCAAACACTAGTATGAAGATTTTTGAAAAAATGTGAGTCTACATCTTTAATTACGAAATACGCGATACTAGCTGAATATTTATTAGCTACTTCAAATCAGTTGAAAGTAATTGAATAGTTAATTAGAAGATGAACGTGAGATTGTGAACGCTTAAACAATTAATTTCTGATATAGTAAATCCTCCCTAGTAGTCCATGTTACGGCACACGACACGGCTCCTTTCACTAGAATTCCCGGAACGACAACTAATCCAATAACATCACTTTTTTAATCTTAACATTTTAAAACTGAATTTTTTTTAACATATTGCAGATAGTTTTTTTTATTAAAATGAAACCAAACATGATATAGTTTTGACAGATATTTCTGATTGCATAAAATAAGATCAATCATGATGTAATTGAATAAATATGGTCTAAAACATACTTTCATGTATAAAAAATTAGAAACAAAAAGTTAAGGCATCGTTTTTATTCTAGCATTATTATGTATCTCTCCCTCTCTCCCTCCCTCTCTCTCTCTCTCTCTCTCTCTCTCTCTCTCTCTCTCTCTCTCTCTCTCTCTCATACACACACGAAATGTCGGCAACTACAAAAACGAGCCGCGATAATATATCACTGTTTCATTAAATAGATCCAATTCGTTATGGTACTGTATATCACCAAGATCACAAAAAGTATTATTATTCATATTGATGAGAAGTGTGAAGGAAGTACGGTGTAATCTGGCTGGTTTGTACGATCTATGTTACGAAGGTTTCTCGATGGTAACTCATTGCTACTATATCCTACTAACAATAATAATCCACGTATCCAAAGTGAACTTTCTTTTTTCAGATGATGAGCTCATCTTTTTCATATTTTACTGTTCTTTACTCGACCCAGTAAAACATATAGAAATATTGACTATAACAGTAGTGATTATACATTTGTTGCAAATTATAAATAAGTGATTTGGTAAGTTAAATGTGACAATTCCGTTTCAAAATGCCCTCAGTACGCTACGTGCAGATTTGAAACGGCGATCACGAATGCACTTCTGAATATCATCATTAAAGGTATTTCTTTACAAAACGTTCCTTCTTGATCGTTATTAATTACACGCACTGCTTACACTATGCTAAACTCCCACGATCTTATCGAATTTCTTAAAACAGAAAGATCTCCAGTCTACTTCTACCGCAACAACTACTATTACTGTTACTACATACGGTACAGTAACCAATTAACATTATGTATACATAATACTTATTGTTTGCTTTGGTTAATGTTAACCTAAAAATGTTCTCGAAAACTAAGTCTCAAACAAAAAAAAGTTATTCTATATTTTTTTCATGTTTTTTTTTATGGGGATTCACCTGATGTCCGCTTGTACATACTTTTAGAGACAACCTGTTTTTTCACCAGGATAATACCGCAGCAAACACTGCGAAAGTAGTAAAAGAGTACTTTTCTCGAAAAAAAATCGCATTTTAAATTGACTAGCAAGAGTATAACATTGAAAATGGTTCTGGAAATCTTAACCGAGCTGTATATGCGAATGGCAGAAAATTTCAAAATATTGTCAAATGAAAGTAATGTATTTAAGATGAATAGAAGCAATTAAAGCAAAAGACTATTAAAAAGACTCTACATATAAATCTTTGCCAAAGATAATGACTGTTAATAAATGTAAAGGAGGAGTCACAAAATATCTAGCATTAAATATCATTCGTTGATTTATTGCTACACATAATTTTTTTAGTTAAATGTTTGTTGTTATTATTTTGTTTCATTATATTCCTATAAAAATTCTTTCTTTTTCCAAATAAAATTTATTAGACCGACGAAATTCAATTCTGCTTCTCTTGTGTATGTTTATAGCGGCATTTTGCAAATTTGTATAGAAAAAAGCCGTAATTATATTGTTGAATAAATAAAAATTATGTTAATTTTGAAGTTCCGCATCGTAGGTGTGTAGAAAGATAAAGAAATAGCAAGTTAGAATATTTACGAATAATGAAAACAACAAATAATAACGAGGATGTATTCTATATTAATAACAAGGTTCAACACGTTCAACACGTTCAACACTTAATAAAATATTAGAATTGAGGTTATGAGACGTACGGTTTGTCATTCGAGAGCAAGGCAAGGAATGAATAGCGTTGAAAAACGTTGCGTCTTGGGTTGGACTGATCGGTGGCGGAAGTAGGGTTTTGAGGTGTCTGACCGTTCTTGGAATTTCCATTCAAGGCCAATGTATCCATTGGTGTCTAGTGTGTCCAATGGTGTCAGTGATTCTGCTCGGAAACTGTTCCAAGTGGCGGAAAGGAGATCTCACAAATGGGATTGGACGATTCCAATGGATTGCCAATAGAATCCATTGGTATCATCCAATCCTATTTGTGATGGGTAATTCTCCCATTCCTACTTTCCTGGAAGAAAGTGTAGTGATCAAGGTGAAAATGATGATGAAAGTGATCAAGGTTAGAAGCGCTCACGAAAAATGAACGAAGACAGAGGTTTGAACATACAGTGGGTAAAAAAATATGTATTTTTTAAAACTGTACTAAATGATTTAAATCTAGTTAATTGTTTAGAGTAACGTCTTCCTCACCAAATTTTTGGCGCCTTTTATCATATATTTTGATGTGTAGATTGAGAATCTGAAAGAAAAAATTGTTGCTTTCTTTTCGTTTTCGGAATATAAATGTTTATGTATATAGATAAAGGTAACCACTTCCGATTTCGATAAGTTTTTAATATGTTATAGAACTCGACATTTTGAACAACTTTTACCTATACGTATAACTGCTACTCGGTTTTAGTTTTCGACATATTGTAATAAGAAGCTGGCATAGTCTCGCACTCGTTCCGAGCCACAAGTGATCCTCCGTTTGGTGACGAAAAGAAATCAAACCCGAACCTAGACCTATCCCGAAAGCTAAAGCCGAGTGGCAGTTATACATATGTATCCGTAGAAGTTGTCCAAAATTTCGAATTCTATAACATATTAAAAAATCATCGAAATCGGAAGTGACTACCTTTATTTATATACATAAATATTTATATACATATAAACATTTATATCTCGAAAATGAGAAGAAAATGACAATTTTTCGTTTCAAATTCTTAATCTATACATCAAACAATACAATATACCGAGGGCACAAAAGAATTGATGAGGTGGTCGTAATTCTAAATAGTTACTTGAATTTTTTTAAATGATAAAGGGTCTAGTATACTAGACAATGACTAAAGTGCATATCTTTTTAAATTTTGCTTTTACTTGGTATGGTTTTTTAAAAATCAAAAACTGTAAGAAATCTACAGTTTAAAAAATTTTTCAATACCTGTAGCTCGATTCAGGGGTTAACCGATCTCGATCAAATTTTCAGCACGCATATCAGTTACCAAGATCTACAAAAGGCTTCTATTTTAATTTTCGTTTTGGCTCAGATGAAAAAGTTAAAAAACGAGAGTTTTTTATTTTTTTTTTTGCCATTCCAAATAATGGCAAAATTTAAAATCATTTAAAATCAAATTTTAATCATCGTCTAGTATCCTAGTCTCTTTATCATCTAAAAAAAATTCAAGTCATTTAGTGCAGTTTTAAAGAAGTTATTGCGTTTCAAAGGATGTTCGAATACGTTTTTTACCCACTGTATGTATGTATAATATAATAGCGGTCACTCAATTTGATCCAATTCCCCCTCGCATTTCTAAGCAGATACCCCTTCTCACCAGAAGACTTTATGCTCCATCTCTCTATTCCTAACTCCGTAGTTCATGGTTCATGCCTACTCCCTATCAGGGCTCTCAGCATCCTGACAGCTTTACGACTTTCTTTCAGGAAAATAGGAGTAGGAGAATTACCTATCACAAATGGGATTGGATGATGCTAATGGTTTCCATTGGCAATTCATTGGAATCGTCCAATCCCATTTGTGAGGTCTCCTCTCCACCACTCGGAGCAAATTCCGAGGTGAATCTCTGATACCATTGGACATACTAAACACCAATGGGCACAATGGCCTTAAGTAGAAATTCCAAGAACGGTCAGGAACCTGAGTGCTCGCTCCCTACTCCCTATCCTACATATACAGTACACAACTTCGAAGTGACGCTTCTTTGAAGAGACTA